TTTTCCCTTAAAAAAAACAGAGAATTGCACAAACACCGCATTGCGCATTACCTTGGCTTTGCCCATGTACATAGCAATCTCTTTTCACTTAAAAAATCAGACATTGAATAAACTCTGCATTGCTCAAATGCTCAGAAATCTGCTTTTCTCTAAAAGAAATCGGAGAATTGCAGAAACTCGCGCATAAGCAACTCCACTGAGTTGTAAAAAAAAAATGCTTCCAGAAAAATTGAGTCTACTACAGGCGAACAAAAATCCTATCGTAATTGATTTCTCAGCCCTACACTCCTTGCATCGCCAAATAGTACCGTTCGATGACTTTTTCTGACTAACTAACACGCATGGTATCTTACATTTTTCACAAGAAGCGTTATCCTTCAATAGTCCACAATCCATCAAAAATCCTCTAAAAAGTTCATACTCTCTTGTTAATTCATACATAAAATATCCGTTTGGAATGCCTGGTTTTCCCAAACTTTTACGTTTGTTTTTAAAACTTCCACCATAAATTTTCCTTTAAAATCTCCTGATACTTAATTACAACATCACTAACAGCAGGTTTAGAGCAAGCCATAAATACAAAAATCTAACCTCCAAAGTAGCCAAAAAGAAAAAATATCTAAAATAGTATTCTCCACGGTACCTGAGCGTTAAACAATCGCCGATAACAGTGTTACGAATTGCGTATTTGGATATTAATTTTAGTAGAATTATAATTTAAAATGCCGTATTTCTCCGTGTAATGCAGTGCGAGACAAATTTTAAAAAAATCTGTGCCGGAAAAGTAAGAATACAGGGCACGAGCATTTAACTTTGAGTAAATGGATATCTCGGTAATTTGTATTGAAATTGTGTGTGTGATTATGGCAAAGCCTCGAGGGCTATCTGCCTAAGAGGAGGGATGCCTTTCGTGGAGGACTTTCTAAGGGAAACTGGCTCGTATACACGTTACACATGGGGAAAACCACGAAAACACCCATGCAGCCAGCCCGTTCGCGGGATTCGAACCTCGGACCGAACTACCAGTGTTCAGCGACTTTACCGCTCGGCCGCTGGTGGGCCTGTATTGAAATTGAATAAATGTAATTGACCACTAAGTTAATTGTAACCGTAATTCCATCCTCTTGTTTACATTGCTTTTGGCGAATAGTATGGGTTACCACATCATTTCATTTATTGCCATTCTTGGCGAAATGTTTTGGTTAAAATTCTGGGTGGGGCTATATTAAAGCTGTGTCAAAAATTACAATGAAATAAGCAATATCCCTTAACAAAAATGTTAATTATCCTAATAAATAAATTAACCAACTTCCCGTAGCCTTTTTTCAACAAACGTCCAGTATCTAAGAAAAACATCAGGAAGTAGGTTAAAATTCGATGACAAAATTCCATCAAAATAAGTAAACTAAATAAAAAGTTATAAAAACGGATTCGCTTTTGAAAGCCATGTTTTCTATTCAAAACATGATTTCTCGGAGTTTTCATATCACCTTGATGAATGACATATACACTTACTTGAGTATGGGAAATTTTACAAGAAGGAACTTATACGAAGTTTCGCTACAGAGATAAGGAGACAGTAAAGAAGGTGGAGGGATTTTGAGACCATAGACAGCAATATTACATAGCACAGGAGTTGGTCCGTAACAGAAACAGAAAGTACTAAAATAAGTAAATTGTGTTAGTGTCACTACAAATGCATATTTGGTCCCTCTTTACGGAGGAACAAAGGCTGTGATGTTACTGGATAAAAATACTAAAACACACGATGATACTCTATGAACAGAGAGTAAAATGATGAGTGCAAAATAAGTAAATCCTATGGCCAATCAGCTCCACTTTCCTTTTGAAGCATTTTTAACTTTCTACCTAACTGGTGTTGAGTTGGGGGTTGTCAGCAACAACAATCATTCGCAGAACATCTCAGACATACTTAACTGAGCTCGGTTAGAAGATATAATTGACTTTCCATGAATCGCTTATTGCTCAAGTATAAAACATCTATATAAAAGGTAAGAATATTGATTTAATACTTTAGGCAGTTGACATTCCAATTTGTCAGCTGTATGGTACTGGTAAGCAAGTAGAGCGTTATGTTTCTGTGTATAGTTATGGTATCCAAAGTAGATATGTGGATCCGTATTCATAATGAACCTTAGGTATGTCTTGCTGGCTTAGTAACAGATATGTGTTCTTTTTTGTCATATGAAACAGAAAGTGTCATATAGCACCTGTAGCAGCAATATTTAGTTGAAATGGGGAAAACATGAAACTCTAGATAAATTTAAAAACTGCACAGAATTATCGCCCTCATTTTTCCGATTGGCAACAGTGCTGATATCAGCAACAATGATAAATCAACAACAACGCCGACGTGTCACTGTTGCTGATATAATGAGAAAGAATTACCTATTTGATGCGATTTCATCAAAAAACATAAAATAATAATAATAAAAAAAATTCGAATTTTGAAGAAATCGCTTCGAGGTGCAATGGCTCTTGTTTAGATGCACCTATGTACCAAATTTCGAAGACCTGGGTCTATTAGGTCTAGTGGATAAAACATCGTATCATAACATCATACATCGTGTACTATATGAAAAAAGTTTAACAAGAATTTATCGTCACTAGAAACTGATTTTAAGCCACATTTTCAAGACTTTATTCTCTCAGGCTAGTTCTGTTTTGCCCCCTCCTTTCCTCATCATCATGAAGTTTAAGCTACTATTTTGGCATTTCTTCTACTTTAAGCTCCTTGTGCATTTACTTTAATTGAGCCAGTATACAGCTAGTTATTAATAACTAGTTAGGACGGCATATGAACGAAACAGGACATTAAGCCAGAGTTAGACGTTTTGTTAATATTCTGTTATTGAATCCTATCTAATTATACTATTCTTTATTATACTATTCTTTCACCTATAAAATCTTTCAGAAGCACGGAAATATATCACTGGCCAACATTTTCACTCAAAATTGGTATCACACAAATTTGGTATTATAGTTTTAGAAATACTACTATGATAGGATACCAAATTTCGTATATGGCACATTTAGATGTGCTATATTAGTATATTGCACATTAATATGTGCCATAAACAAAACAGACACATATTTAATTTGCTAGAAGTAAGTTAGGTATGCGAAGCAAGATGTTTGTGCAAAGGTGGGTGTTGCGGTATATGGCTGTGGAGACAGAATCATGTAATACTCCTAGCTATATTTCTAGCTCACCGAAACGAAGGTACTGTGTCCATTTATTTGATGGTAGCTTAAAACTTTGGATTCATGCAATCTTTGTTTATTGTTATTAAAGAGTAAGAAAAGACAATAATGTCAAAATCCAGACAATAATGTCTAGAAGTGGATTGTTTTCTTGACACTAATTATGTAATTAAAGGAAATATAGAATACTTGTAAGTCTAACTTAGATATTTTCCTTTTAATTAATACCTTACGTTTCGCTACATCTTTGTGAGGAAGTCAATCATTTTAACCAGCTAACTGTGGCGCTCTCGTTTAAGAGTGCGCACCGTTTTGTATTGCCAGATTCGAGCCATGACGAGTATATTCGTCAATCACAGAGTAAGTTGCGCTGGTATGATATTGGATGAAAAAGATGGGTTTATTTTATAAAATTGAAAATTTTATTTATTACTAATATTTACTTATTTGGTTAACGTAAGCATATATTACATAAATATTAAACTAAAAACGCAATAAATTAAATTAAATATTATACATCTAAAAGTAAGAATTTAAATTCCTGCTGCGGAGTGATATTCAACGAAACAGGGTACTATACACAATGGGACTTTGCAAATCGAACACCAGCAACGCGATTCCTTCCTGATCTGACATTTGTAGCAATGCGAACACCTTCGCGTAGGGTTGTTTTTATTCTATGTTCCGAGTATATAATCCGGAACATGATTTCCGCCTAATTGGCTTATTATTTCTTTTTATATAATATGAATGCATTCAGACACATAATGTCTAAGAAATGGAGAAATATCTTTTTGTAGTACTTTTTGAGTCGTTTTCTTGCTGTGGAATACGCTATGATAATTCCATCGCTCATATCCACTTCACCCATTTTTTTTATTATATAATCATTCACTAGTTCCGGTTTCTTTGTTATTATTTTTCTCTTCTCCGTTTCTATTACGTTATCATTATGTACAGTACTTACTAATTAAACCTCCCTCTTATCTTTCCATTTCATTAACATAATATACACATGACGAGTATGCTCGTCAATACACAAAATCGTGTCGCTTCTCCATAACGAGTATACTCGTCAATCCCAGTTAACTGGTTAAATAACTATGTTTTACATTAAAGAATATAATATCTCTCTCTTCTTTCCCACATAAACTAATCTAGATTCTACAATGAACCTGGCGAGTTCTCGCTCAGGCGTGAAGTAACAACACGACAAGGAGAAAAGGGAAAAATTACCCTTTAAATTATTTCAAACTACGAACAGAAAAGGCACGTTCTTCGTGCTTTACGATAACACCATCGACTTACTGTGGAACCTAAACATAGCATATAAATCAATTCAAGTCTAAATAGAATAGTGCTGGGTTAGCTACGTTAGTGACTACTATCCGAAATAACCAAGGCGCGTATTAGCGTAACAGCAAGATCAGCATCGAAACGTGTGCTGGCTAGCGACAACATGGCTCTGAATAAACTTCAATATTCACCCGTTCAAATACTCACTTCACTTAACTATTCATTCACTTCCTGGGGAGGAAATGCGTAGGGAAGTTAAAGAGTTCAGGAAAGATAACAAAAATTTGAATAAAAAATGTTAGTTAAACTTAAGGATACCTTACAAGAAGAATAACATACAATATTAAACAAGTAACCTACAATAATAAATATGCAACTAATAAATATTCAAAAAATAATTATGTAATTAAAAAGAGGAAGTACGGTCAGTTCATAAATGAAAGGCGTTGATGAAAAGGAGTGATTAATTAGTTATTTACTTTTTGAATAAGAATGATCAGTATAATAATCTTCAAACTGTATTCCTATGTACTGCCCAGCTTTTCCAATGGTGTAAGTGCAGTTGAGAGTTCCACGATAGACATCAGGATAATAAGGAGAAAATATTTGCCCTCTGTTCTTTGTAAAATTGCCTCCACAGCCTAGAGAAATAAAACAGAATCTTACTCATATGAAAATGATAGCTTTTATTCGTGAATTCTCTCGTTTTTACTTAGTTCCGTCTCGCTATTTTTATATGAGTCGCTTAGAAGCCAATGAGGTTAAGTCTAATTTTTGATATTTTCTTATTTTTGTAAATTTTGATGAAATAAATAATATTCTTCTTAGTTATTAAAGAATTTACTCGTTGCTTCATTTTTTCTAGGTCAGACAGCCCTTTATTAATAGCTTCTGAATATATTGTATAATAATTTCAGAAGCCGATTTGACTAAGTCAACCTTTTATCAATACCTTTTACATAAACTTTGAAATAAAAATTAAATTCTTCTTCTTTCGATATTTGTTGGCAACAATGAAAAACAACAAATTCACAGTAACTGTAACTGTTGCTTCTACTATTTAGAATTGTTTGAGTTTTATGTACGGGCTTTCTTTTAATTTCAAATAAACTTTGAAAAAAAAAAAATCTGAAATGTTTCAGATTTTAAATACGTCCAAGGGGCGTTTTTAACATTTTGTGTGTACCTTTCTTTATTAAATATCATGTTCCTCGCACTTAAACCATAAGATCCATGCAACAGCAATATCGCAAAATAGTTTTAAAACGAGCATATCTGTAGAATTTCTGGACAACTCACGCGCTGGAGATAAAATGTTTTTTCTGTCAACAACGTTGGTTCTTTTTTGGTTGTGCCTTGATTTTTCTTATGTCCTATCTTGCTTGATCAATTCTGGTACTTGTAATTTACCTTATGTTTTCGGGTTCATCTAATGTGTTAAGAGGCGGTGTCGATATATATTCAACATTAAGTTGTCAGCTTTTAGATTCATGATTTTTGATCCGATGTTGAAATTTCGGATCTACTTTATTGGTTAACTGTTGCCGCGACCTAGTATGTTAAGGGTATTGGGCAGTTATTACCAAATACCCTTCATAAAACGCTGTCGATAGCGGATGTTGTCTCGTCGGAGTGATGGTCAATTCTTCGGGTATGCGCATTTGGTATTTGTAAGATTCTTCTTTTAGAATAACGGCTGGTTGCCTAATTCATGGTGTAGCGGTGTTGATGGTGAATATTGAGTGTAGTAACGTTTATTGGTGACTTATGTATTTGTCGGTTTTATGATACTTGCAATGGTGTCTTGCGTTTACAAGGAGAATGAGCATGCCGGCTTTTCTGTTTAACTCGTGGTCGTGCCGTATCTGGTTATTTTGTTTTGGTAAATGCGGTGTTTTATCGGGGTCGAAAGCTTGCAGATAACTTGTCGATCTTGCTCAACCGTGGGACCTTTAGTTCTTTTCTACCTAGTGTTTTTGGTTTGCGTTGAGCTGAATTCCTTTGACACTAATTGCCGGTATTGCAGAGATGGAATTGTTAAGAAGCCAGATGTCAAGAGCGCGAAGGGGGCCGTTTTTATTCATGCATCCGTTCCTTGGATAGTTGGAAGTTTCTAGCTTTTGAGACACAGTTGGGAGGGTTTGGGTCCTCATGTTATTGACAACATCATTTGTAGTCTATTAGTTTGGGTGCTATGTGGGCTGTGTTACGGACACTGGTTATAGGTTTTTTTTGTTTCACAAGTTTTACGATCCAACTCGGGATTGTTTGTTTCAAGGTTTGTGTTTCCTTTTAAAGAGCGTTTTCTACTGTATCGCTTTTAGATTAGTTTTCGCGTCCGACGTTACGGAGATCTCCATGTTTGGTGTTGCTCCTTTGTTTCGATACCAATACGTCCTCTTGTGAGTAACAGTGAATGAGAGGCTACGATCAAGTTTTCTTCTTTTTCTTTCAATTTTTCGTAATCGGCAATCGACATTAATATTATCTTTTTTGGTTTTATTGTGTGATTTGCCCTAATTTGATTTCCACGGTGACCGATTGCTTTCTTGCCATCTTCTGATTGATTTGGGAGTGCGGGGGCGGGTTTCAGACTTGTTTGGGATTTTCCCATGAATGACTTGGCTTTTGTACACTGCTACGTTGAGCATTTGGTATTGCGAACTTTTATTCTGATTCTGAAGTCCCGGTTCGACTTCTTATTAAGCGCGTGATTAATGGCAGTCGGTGCTTTGATCTTAGCTTGATGCTATCTGTGGTGGTGCATACTGCGGTTACATTGATACTGCCGTGTAGAGCGGAATTTCAGATCAATTACGCGGGCTAGCCTACTCACCGGACTGATTGTATTACATTTAAAAGGCCAGCGTGGTCGCGCTCTCAGCTAGCGGTTCTCCCCAGCACTTCGTTTCCTTCAGCCCTGTGGATTATTTGTTAGGGACGCACTAGTTAAGGTCACATAAGTGTGACATTCGAATCTGTTACGGTTTGGTCTTATTTGGGGATCCTTTTAAGGTTAAGATGTTTGGGGTTGGGGGGCGAGGGATGTGTCGCGATACCGGAGTACCTACTGCTTTTATTTAATTTTTGCTAAGTTGCCAGGTGACATATTTTATTTTTACTGACATGTGTAAGTTGTTGAAGATTCCAAAGGTATGATATTCGCCGGACTGAGATTTAATATTGTTACGTGGGTGTTGTGCGCGGTAAATGTAACTTTTAGGAATCATCGGTTCAGATGTCCTGTCTTCGTATGCGATGTAGATTGTCAATATTCGTTTTGCTTCTGTTACTTGTTCTCTTTACTTGAGTTATTTGATTCCTTAGTCTTCCGTAGGTTATTGATGCAGAAGAGTACTCAGCTAGAGCATCGTTTAGCACTTCACACCGGTAGCACTCGTTGTCGCGCTGTTGATGAAAACCTTTATCGGAAGTCTGTGTTTGCTAAACAACTAAACTGCAATTCATTCGATTAGCTTTGGTTTTTCCCGAGCGCAAGTGACGAGTGTTTGCTTTTTTGAGGGCTTTTGTTAATCGTTTCTACCAGTGAATTGGCTTGTGGGCGTTCTGTTGAATATGCGAATGTCAAGAAACGTTCAGTGGTGCCGGAATCGAGGGATAGAACACTCTTCGACTTAATTTTATATTTCAAAACCATTGGACGATTTATAGGTAGGAAGCAGGGATGACGTTTTGAATTTTTTATGTCAAGCGAAATTTTGAGTTAAGTTGATGTAGGTTGACTTACCCGCGAACGTTACTTCGATGTCTTTCGGGGTACTGGTGTGAAAAATTCGTAAAATTCTTCTCTGACCGTTGATCGATTCTTTACTCCTACTTTCGAACCTTTGGTCACACTAGTTTTTTTCGGAGTCGAGGTTCGACAATGACGAAATTCCATCGTTCCCTTGTCCTCGTATGTGATTATTGATTTCTGTCTCGTACTTATCGGATGTCAGTTAATTGGGGGAGTAGGATCTAGCTTTAGGAATTTTGCAGTTTAGGTAGTGGGGCTTGGGCCCTCGTAAATAATGTAAAATTCCTTCATTTTGGTGGATTTAATCGGTTTGGCGATGGCCTCCGGTAACAAGGTTTCATAGAGCGCCCTTATTCCTACGGTAACGCTTCTTTGGCGATTTTTTACTGCAATACTTTATTTTGTGAACTACTAGGGTATTTGGAGCGGGTATTTCTTTCCTATGATTTCACAGTTTTTGGATGCCTGGTTTGTTTCGTGAGTAGAACGGGTATGTTGTCAGTATTGTTCCAACTGAGAGGTTGCAATTGGGGCGCAGTGAGGGGGGGACTAACGGAAGAAAAAGAATAGAGTAGCTTAATTTGGGTTTGTACTTCGGTTTGTGGGCTTTTATGTAAAGGGGGAAGGGAGAGGTAAGGTGGGAATGGAGGTAACTAGCCGGGCGGGAGATAAGGTGTGGGAGGTGTAAAAGGATACTGATAATGGTCTCGTGCCTGCGGTCGAGCGGTGTATTTGGTGTGATTGTTAAATATGGGGAAATGTTAATGATTTTTCGGTTGAGGGTAATTGGGATGTTGTTATTCAACCTATTATAGTTCTCCTTTTAGGTTTTTTACCGTCTGTTCGTTGGGGGTGTTTTCAGCAGGTATCTGTTAGTTGCAGGTGTTTACTTGATTCGCGAGTCTGTCCGTTACTGTTCAGAGAAGATTCCTCGGTCGGCTTTCTGCGGGAACACGGCTTCGGTCTCTAGCCTTGAGAATCATACTTTACATGTGGCTTTTCTTACTTGCCTCGTCAGTTCGTCCGGTCGTGTAGAATCAATTACCCGTTCGCTGGGGTCTTCCAAGCCAAAACGCGACCAAAACTAAGGGCCGGCTGTCTCCCCTACGTGGGAACAAAAGTGCATAATATAGTATATCCATTCGGGGGAAGATTGAAATCTCAGTCTTCCGCTCGTGTGGGTTCCTCTTACCTGCCAAAAGTTATTGTATCGGGGATGCGAACCTTCTATCATGTATTTATCTGGGCTGAGCAGATCTGATCGAACGTGCATCTTTCTGTAAATAAGGCAGATTCTTTCCTTCTTGTCCTTGCTCTTCGCTCTAGCCTCGGTTCCTTCTCTCGATCACAGGATCTCCGTGCGTTCGAAGCTGTGCTATTCAATCATTTAATAAACCATTGTGATAAACAGGACCTCTGTCGTACTCCTGTCACAAGTCTTATGTCTTAATTCTCAATTCCGAAGCTTTCCACAGCTCTTCCTTAGGGGACGGATACTAAACCCCTCTCAAGTATCCATCTATTCTCTTTTACAGGAAAAATCTTATGCTGTTCTTTTTCGCTCGCTTGAAAGAACGACAGTACCTGAAATACAAATGCCTCACTCGGTTGATACTAAATTGCAAATAGTTAGAGTATGATGCGGCTTTGCCTGATCCGCTAGCACTCAGCATCTTTTACGTTGTAAGCTTCTTTGCATTGTTATCCCTTTTCCGCTTTACTCACTCGGATTCTAATCCAACCAGCTCCCATGAAGGCAAGAATTTTTGATAGGATTGCTCGTACAATACCCCTAATATTTCTGGTGGAACAGGTAATTGGACTCAGTGATGTTATCATCAGCATCCCAGTTACTAATTCCATTTGACATCTCCCACTATCTCA